AATAAAGATATTTACAAAGGCCAAACGACCTCAACAAAATGAACAAAAATATAAAAATAAAAGAAAATCTCTAAGGAACCTAAGCATGATCTCCACCGGAGCCATCAGGGTCTTCTCCATCCTCGGGTTCGCCGGAGCCCTCAGAGCCTTCTTCGTCCTCGTGGTCAGCCAGCTTCTTGGCCATGGCCTCGAGCCTTTTAGCATCTTCGATCTCGGCCGACAGGTTGAAACCCCGGGCATGGACCTCCTCGAGAGCCTCTCTTCGGGACTGCCGCTTCACGTACTCAACAGTGACTTTCAGGCGGTCCCGGGCCACCTCAGCATCAGCTCTGTACTGAGCCACCATCTCTCCAGCATCGGCCCTGGTTATTTTCGTCACTGACTTGGCTATTTTAAGCTCCTCGCCAAGGGCATCCCGTTCAGCGATGGTCGAGCCCAATTGAGACTGGAGGTCTTTGATTTTTTAGGCCCGGGCCTCGGCTTTCTCCCTCACCACTCGAAATTGGACCTCCACCGAGGGCAGTTGTTCCCGGGCAGTCTCCTTCTCCGAAGTTCCTCGACTGACGTGACGTTTCAGTTTCTTTATCATTTTTGTCCCGACGTGTTGAAGAAGGAATCGAAGAGCTCATGTCGTTCCTCGTCGTTTATGTAAACTTACTCTCCAAGAAACTAAGGGACTATCTGTATACGGGTAAAACCGGACCCATGGGACACCCCGGTTTTCAATAAGGTAAATCGAGCAAGAGACGTGATGATAAAAAATCGGAATCGAGGCGAGGGTCTCAGCGAGCCAGGGTCCGGGGGCACAATGCCCACCCTAGGGAATATCGGGGCCATGACCCCGGGATCGGTCTAAATTCCAAAAGATTTCAGAGAACATTGTCAGGCAATCGAGCATGATTAACAGAAGGACGTGATATCCGTGACCAGCCGGGTATCACGACGTGGATCTCGGCACGTACCGGCGAAAATTCGGTGATTAGTTAAGCGGAAGATTTTTACCTTTTATAGAATTGTACCTAGGGTATGACTTCCCTACTATATAAAAGGGGTCTGATTATTCATTAGACATTGTAACACGCATATCAAGGCAATATACTATCATTTTCTCTGTTATTAAAAGTTCTTATTCTTGTTCATCAGTGCTTGGTCATTGTGAGTCCGGGATCGTGGACTGATATTTCATTAAGGCTGTTGTTAAGTTCGGAATCACCCTCCTCAAGTGGTTTGATAATTTATTACCTCCTTTATCCATTTAATCTAACGCAATTTATCGTTTGTGTCGAATTAATCCACGTATCCTTAAAATCACAAATAAATTTAATTGTTATCCGTTTTTTAGGGTAAACAATAATATTAATAACATTTTTTTGATCGATAATTTGAAAGAAAATATATTTTAAGATAGAATTTTGAATTTTAAAAATTATATAAAAATATAATATAATTATTCTTCTCATATTAATATAATAAAAATAAAAAATGACACATGATTTCTAGTACTCTTGAGTATGTAGTTATACAAATCTCCATTACAATTCTTGTACTCTGGAGTCTTGTCGTACTCGGTGCTAAGGTAATCTACTTTTTAGAATCATTTCAGTAGGTAAAGTAGGACACATAAAAGCTGGAGCCAAGTTAGTGGTTCCTATATCTAATTTTAGCTCACTTTGCTAATTGCTTCCAAGTGAATAAGCAGACGTTTGGACATATAAATTGTAATTTTTGAAAAAAAAAGAAAGTAATATTTAGAGTTAACTTGAAAAATGATGGAGTATTTGAAATTTGAAGTTATGTTTGGACATGCATTTCACATAAAAAATACTGTAGTTTTGTGAGTGAGGAAAAAAAAAATCTAAAAATTTTGAAAAAGTGCCCAAAATCACTTTTTAGTTTTTGGAAAAACTCATTTATGAAATCTTTTCAAAAACTTACAAAATTTCATAGACAAACATATTTTTTTTAAAATATTCGAAAAAAAAATAATTTATTTTATGGACAAACAGATCCTAAGTGTTCGTATCGAATGTTTATGTCTAATTAAAATAAATATATTAAAAAAAATCATCAAATCAAAGTAAAAAATTTGTATCATTTGATCATAATTGCTTCCAAGTGATCGGGTGTTTATGTCCAATTAAAAAAATTAACTTATAATATCATCAAATCAAAGTAAAAAAGTATATATATATATATTGATTTTCCGTACTTCTCTATTTATTTACTTTTTTATATTATAACATATTTAATTAAAATCATGTTCCGCCACTTGACACATATCTTATTTTTTTTTCACTTGGTACAAACACTCAATGCAAGTAAAGTTTTACCCCACACACTATCTTGAATTCCTATTTTCAATTTACAGGAAGTTTGGATTACCATTTAATTCCCCAACCATTAATAACGTCAGCAGTAATTAAGTAGCGCAGCATTGATATTTTGGTTCTTGGTCTTGATGCTTCTTAAGGCCCGTTTGTCCATAAAAAATATTTTCTCTCCGTTCAATTTTATTTGTTCACTATATTAAAAATATATTTTTACTATTACTTGTCCACTATACTAAATCAAGAAAAACACAATCTTTTTTTCTTGTTATACCCTTATCCTTAATTACTCATTTTCAAACTTATTTCTCAATACTTTTTGAAAGGCTATCATTGTTAGGGGTTGTATGGTAAAATACATACTATCTTTATTATTTTTTAAAGGCCGTGAAAAGTCCAAAGTGGACAAGTAAAAGGGAACAGAGGGAGTAATTTAAATTTTTTAAAAAAAACATATTTGTCCATAAAATTTTGTAAGTTTTTGGAACTTTTTCGAAAATGAGTTTTGACTACTTTTTCAAAAAAATTAGAATTTTTTTTCCCCACTCACAAAACTATAATATTTTTTCAAGTGAAATGTATGTCCAAACATAAATTTAAATTTCTAATACCGTTTTCCAACTTAACTCTAAATACTACTAGTTTTTTTCAAAAAATATAATTTTTATGTTCATACGCCTTCTTAAATGGATTTTTCCAAATTTTTAAATAAAAAAATATGCAACACAGGAGTTCAAGACAATTATTCAAAGTAGATCTAGTGGTGTAAAATAGTAATCTCAGATTACAGTGAATTGGCTTTGATTTTGTTAATGTACTGTGCTTTGATCAGATTTATGTGGCAAATTGGAAAAAACATAGAGCGGGAAAGCAAAGACAAATGAAAATATTTTTGACTTTTTTGCCCTTAACCACAGATTTCGGGTTCGAGTCTTGATTATAGAGTCGCTGAACGCTTTACTCCCAATGTGGGACTTTATGGTGCAAATTTAAATTTAATCGGACTCCAATACGAATACCGGTAGTGGACACCAGTTGGAAAACCAAAAAATAAATACTTCTTTCGAATTAATTTATATGAACACATTTGACTGACACGGAGTTTAAAGAAAAGAAAAGACTTTTAAACTTGTGATGTAAAATAAGGCACATATATTTTGTGTGGTTATAAATCATTATATAAAAGTAAATTATTTTCATATAAGAAAAAAAAAAGTCATTTTTTTGACACTGAGAAAAAGAAAATAGGTTCAATTTCAAACAACCTAATATATTTTTGGATACGATAAGGGAACGCTTTTTAAGAAAGAAACAGAATCATTTTATATCACTCTTTTTATCTCCCAATGAATTCCTTACCAAACTCTCAACACTCTTTTACCCTTCCTTCACTCTTCTTCTCTCCAGAGGTACTCTCTAATTTTCCCTTCTATTTTCATGATTCTTTTTTTTGTATATTTATATAACGATTTATCTTTTAAAAAATTATATATTTTTAATTGTTTTAAAAAATAATAACCTATAAAATGTATAATTTTTATATAAGTGTGTATCATATACAAAAAAATATTGTACATATTTTATATACTTTTGACTAGTGAATTTAATTATATACTTTTGTATTTGTCATTTTTCTTTGGGCGTTGAATAGGGCATGGACTGTACTGTCGATGAATTTTTGGTAGATGAACTCCTTGACTTCTCCAATAATTGTTCCACTGAAAACGAAGAGCACCCACAGGGGTATAACGGTAAAAAGCCAGAGAAAGTTGAAGCTGAAAATGTTACCAATTTATCTGGAAAACAAGATTTTGGTGAACTCCATTTTCCGGTAAGAACTATTTTTCGTGAAAAGAAACTTTTTTTTTTTAACTACAGGAATTAATGAGAGCTGTTTTTAATTTTTAGGAAAATGACGAGGATAACCTCGAATGGCTAGCTCATTTTGTTGAAGATTCATTCACGTACACTGCCGGAAAATTACCGAACCAGGGGGAGATGAAAACTCCGGTCCAAGACAGCAAGTCATGCTTCACCACTCCGGTTCAAACCGGGTCAAGAACCAAACGTACAACCGCCGCCCGAGTTTGGTCACTTTCATTGACCGAGTCAGCTTCTACTTCCTCTTCCTCTTCCTCCACTACAACAACAATGTCGTTCTCGTTATCACCTTGTATTGTTCATACAGCCGAGTCGATAGTACGGAAGCCGGCGGCGAATAAGCGGAGGAAGAAGGCGGCGGGAGGTGGGGTCCAGCCGCGGCGGTGTAGCCATTGTGGCGTACAAAAGACTCCACAGTGGCGGGCCGGTCCAATGGGTGCAAAAACTCTTTGCAATGCATGTGGGGTCCGATTTAAATCCGGTCGGCTCTTGCCGGAGTACCGGCCGGCTTGCAGCCCGACGTTTTCGACCCAGCTACATTCCAACAATCACCGGAAAGTTTTAGAGATGCGGCGGAAGATGGAAGTAGAAGGCGGCGGTTTGGCTCGACCCGGTTCAGAATTTTTGAAAAATTAACTTTAACAGGGTAGGTTTGTTTTTATTCGAATTAAAAGTAGGTTTATGGACTTTTTATTTTAGTGAAGAAGTAGTAGAAATTTTAGAGGGAAAAAGGAAGAACCGGAGTTGGGTCCGGTTTATTGTGCATTTCTGATGCGAGATGATAGATACTAGATAGTGTAGTAGGTTTTCTACGTGTAACGGATATATATTTACATTCGTAATGTTAGGTGTATATTTATCTTTTGTTTATATTTGGTGTTTATTTTTAGCAAAGTGAAGTTTATATCTTATAATATTATCTTACTGTGTATAATTAAAATTTAACTTTTCAAAATTATCCCAATCATTTTGATATTCCTTTGCTATCAATACATTTCGGTACTTTATTTTGTAAAATATCATGTAAGAGTTGTGATGTTATGAAGATGTCCCATTTATTATGTAAAGTTAGAATAATCGTAGTAAGTTTTAATATGACACAAAGTATAACAAAAATAATATTTAAACTACACTGATAATTAAATTATATCAATGAGGTAAATTTATCTGCACTTGGATATTTAAATATCGGTCTGCAATATTTTAGGCACCTTTTAGGATATACATGAATTGATCAGACAAATAACTATTAATTAAATTAAATTAAAATAATTCATTCATTCGCAATTAATATTTTTCTAGAAAATAATAAGTGCATATACAACACATCGGCATCGGTTAAAGTCATGGGTAATGGATTAAGCATTTGTTGGGCTGGGCTCGCTCAATCCGAAGCCTTTCTAATCATTGAATCATAAGATTTTAGAAAACTTCAAGTTATCTTTATTTATAAGTAGCTTATTACAAAAATTGACAAATTCATAAGATATTACTAATATTAGCAAATAAGCTATAAAATATTAAATTATTACTTTTTTTTGAGTGGGTGTTATTAGAATAGATTGGGTATATCTTAAGGAGCTTGAATCTCAGTTTTTGGATAATTTGGTGGAGTTTTGAGATGATCTGAATTGAAATTTTGAAGTAGAAGATGAACATGAAAACAATGATATGTGTATCACACTGTGTATCATTAGCACATATGTATCATATTTGTATCAAATGTGTATCACATGTGTACCTGTGGCGTGATATATATGTTTGATACATGTGTCGCAGAAGAATTTTTTGAACTCGATTTTAACTACGAATTTTGATACCAAATCAGTCCAAATTACCGTCAATCTTCTTCAATTTTGTATATTGACTCATTATATATTTTCAATGAATTTCAACCATAACCATTGAAAAAGGTCTTTTTGCTTAGATTTTTTGAATCTTGTATATATATATTTTTTGTATTTCATCACCTTATTTGCTACCTCATCCATAAAATTTTCTTTCAGTCTTGCATCTAATGTTGTTGATCACACTTTAAAATATGGAAACAGATCTTTGCGTGTGATTTTTGGAGAGAAAAAATCTTATTATTTGGGTTTTTAATTTTTATATGTGTTTGGCTAGTTTTGGTAAGTGTATGATCAATGGCTAGAGGTTGGTAAGTTAGGACTTATTTGGGACATTTCTGTAAGATTTTCTAAGATTTTTAGTTTGAAATTTCAGGACAAAATAAGTATTGGCTTATCTCTAATCGCATCCCTGAGAATGACTATCTGGTCAAATTCACTATTTACTTTTTTAGCGATATATATAAATTATATACTAATTATACATATATATTATATATTTATCAGTTATTTTAATTTATGCGGTTGAATATGCGACCATTTGGGTTAACTCTTCTAGAATTAAGTTCTTTAATTCTAAAAAGATAACATGTGTTATGAATAAAAGCAATATAGCAAGAACTATGTAATTAATTAGAACTTAACATAAGAAGGGAATGATAATATTAGAAGAGAGGATTTCTACACTTTCAGAGTGTCTCCAATAGGTTCATCAATGAACCTATTTGTAGACATAATTCGTTGTTACAAAAACTAATCCAAAACCTGTTATGAATACAGAACGAATCCATAACCAATCCAAAACATGTTATGGAAGATATCCACCGTTGCAAGTGGACGAATCCAATTGCAGGATTTATAACACTCCCCTTTGAATGTGCAATAACAGATAATGTGCCTCGTTAAAACCTTACTAAGAAAAAAAATCTTGTGGGAAAAACTCTTAATGAAGAAAAAAGAGTACGCATATCTTGTAATACGCATTATTTGCTGCCTAGTTAAAAACCTTGCCAGGAAAACCCAGTGGGATAAAATATTAGTTAAGGAAAAAAGAGTACAACGTGTATCTTACTCCCCCTAATGAAAACTTTGTTTCAAATATTTGAGTCTTCGCATTCCAATCTTGTATACCATCTTCTCAAAAGTTGAACTTGACAAAGATTTAGTGAATAAATCTGTCGGATTGTCACTTGAACGGATTTGTTGCACATCAATGTTATCATTTTTCTGACGATCACGTATGTAGAATAATTTTGGTGAAATGTGCTTCATTCTATCTCCTTTTATAAATCCTCCATTCAATTGGGCTATGCATGCAGTATTGTCTTCGTATAAAATTGTGGATCTTTTATCACATTCCAAACCATATTTTTCTTAAATAAAATGAATCACCGTTCTCAACCATACGTATTCCCTACTTGCTTCATGAATAGCTGTTATCTCAGCATGATTTGAAGAAGTAGCAACAATAGATTGCTTTGTGGAGCGCCATGATATGACAGTACCTCCATATGTAAACATGTACCCGATTTGAGATCGAGCTTTATAAAGATCAAATAAATAACATGCATCTACATAACCAATAAGATTTGCACTACCTTTGTTCGAATAAGATAAACCCATATCAAGAGTTCCCTTTAAATAATGCAATATATGCTTAATCCTGTTCCAATGTCTCTGTGTAGGAGAAGAGCTATATGTTGCTAGTAAATTAACAGAAAATGCTATATCGGGCATTGTAGCATTAGCAAGATACATAAGTGCACCAATTGCACTAAGTTGGGGTATTTCAGGACCAAGGAGTTTCTCATCCTCTTCTGGAGGTCGGAACGGATCCCTATTCACTTCAAGTGATCGAACAACCATTGGTGTACTTAATGGGTGCGCTTTGTCCATGTAAAAATATTTTAAGGCCCTTTATGTATAGGCAAATTGATGGATAAAGATCCCATCTGCAAAATGTTCAATTTGCAGACCAAGACAAAGTTTTGTCTTTCCAAGTTCTTTCATCTCAAATTCTTTCTTAAGATATTCAATTGCCTTTTGTAGCTCTTCTAGAGTTCCAACAAGATTTATGTCATCAACATAAACAACAAGTATAACAAATTTTAATGCAATTTTCTTTATGAAAATATATGGACAAATAACATCATTTATGTAACCTTCTTTCAGTAAATATTCACTGAGGCGATTATATCACATGCGCCCATATTGCTTTAAATTGTAAAAAGATCTTTGTAATCTGATTGAATATATTTTCCGAGATTTTGAATATGTTTCAGGCATTTTAAATCCTTCAGGATTTTTCATGTAAATTTTATTATTAAGTGAACCATACAGATAAGTTGTAACTACATCCATTAGATGTATTTCAAGCCTTTCATATAGGTCTAAACTGAAGAGATATCGAAATGTTATGGCATCCATAACGGGTGAATATATTTTATCGTAATCGACTCCAAGTCGTTGTGAGAATCCTTGTGCAACAAGGCGTGCCTTGTATCTTTTAATTTTATTTGTATCATTTTTTTCGTACAAAAACCCATTTATGACCAACTGGTTTTATACCAGCAGGTACTGGTCCAAAGACCTCCCTTTTAGCAAGTGAGTTCAATTTTGATTGAATTGCCTCTTGCAATTTTGGCCAATCAGATCTTTCTCGACATTCTTTGAGAGATCGGGGTTCAAGATCCTCACTATCTTGCATAATGTTAAGTGCAATATTATATACAAAAATATTATCCACCACTATTTCATATCGATTTAAATTAATCCTATCACCAGTAGAAATTATTAAAAGTTCCTCACTCACTTGAGTCTTGGGTTCATTGATTTCTTCAGGAATCTTAGAACTAATAAGATCTTGGGTCTCTTCAGGAGATTCCTTCATAGTATCATTTTGATCATTTGTTGATTTTCTTTTTCTGGGATTTCAATCATTAGAACCCAAAGTCTTCCACGCTTCAGGCGTGCTTTAGGTTCACTAGCTCTCATACTAGTAGATGGTCCTGCTGGGACATCAATTCAGATAGGTATATTCTTTATAGGGATATGTGACTTAGTTATCCTTTTCAAATCAGTAAATGCGTCTGCCATTTGATTTGCTATATTCTGTAAATGGATGATCTTCTGGACCTCCTGATTACATATATGATCAAAATGAGATAATGATGAAACTTTTCACACAATTTATCTTTTGATTTCCTTTTTATCTCTCCCTAATTGTGAAAAATTTATTTCATCAAATCAAGCAGTAAATAAGTCTTCCGTCAATGGTTCAAAATAGCGAATAATAGCGGGTGAGCCAAACCCAACGTATATTCCTAACCTTCTCTAGGGACCCATCTTACTGCGCAACGGTGGTGCTACTGGCACATATACAGCACAATCAAAAATTCGTAGATGAGCAATATTTGGTTCATGACCAAAAACTAATTGTGACGGAGAATATTTATTAGAATGTGTAGGTCTGAGACAAATAAGTGATGTTGCATGCAAGATAGAATGGCCCCAAATATTAGTGGGCAATTTTGTTTTCATAAGTAGTAGTCTTGCTATCAATTGTAGGAGTTTAATAAATGACTATGTAAGGCCATTTTGAGTATGAACGTAAGGTACATGATGTTCAACTTTTATCCCAACTGATAGATAATAATCATCAAAAGCTTGAGAAGTGTATTTTCCAGCATTATCAAGGCGGATAGCCTTTATATGATAATTTGGGAATTGTGCCCTTAATCAAATTATTTGGGCTAAAAGCTTTGCAAACACTAGGTTACGAGATGATAGTAGGTACACATGAGACCATCTTGAAGATGCATCTATTAGGACCATAAAATATCTAAACAACCCACTTGGTGGGTGAATAAGTCCACATATATCCCCATGTATACGCTCTAAAAAGATAGGAGATTCAATGTCAACCTTCATTGGTTATGGTCTAGTGATCATTTTACCGTGATAACAAGCATCATAAGAAAATTCATCATTTGTAAGAATCTTCACGTTCTTTAATGGATGCCC